CTTCGTTGTCCGTATGCGTTTGTTTTCTCCGACGTTGCCGGCGTCTCGCTACGCTCGTCGGTCGAACGCAGCAAACTCGCCGACGATTCCCCGATACATTGTATACATATACTACAGTTCGGCCACCCTGACCAACGATTGCCCTCAATCGTCATGGCACAAACTAATAAAATTAACGCATAGCACAAGTAAACCATAGAATATACTAAATACAATATTTTTTATGAAACGCATATTACAATCTAAAACAAACAATATGAATTACCAAACATTCACAATGCGACGCATCAAGTAAACTAAACACAAAATATAACCGGTAAGACAGAAGAAAGTATAAGAAACAGATTGTTTAACTGTTTTCATTATCCAAATTCACCCATTTTCGCATATTTTCTGGGGAAAATATACCTTCAAACGGAAGTTGGGTTACTTGATGCCCCTCCGGGTCACTAATAACATATCGATTTTTGTCAAGCACCTTCTTGACGACATACGGACCTTTAAATCTTGGCAACAACTTTTTGTTAACTCCCGTCGTAACCTCTATGTTTTTTACAACTACATAATCACCTACACTGTACTGTACTGGTAATTTGTGTCGTTTGTCATAATATTTTTTATTATATTCGTTGGTTGCACGAATTTTCGCGACGGCATTCTCTCTTATCGTAGATAGTTCCTGATCATCAACATCCCGTTCGTTTAGCACCCTACGCAAATCATCACACACAGTACCTACTTGATTGATTCCAAATAATAATCGACTCGGCGTGTCTCCCGTAGAACGATTTACCGTATTATTAACTGCATATTCCACCTCTGCTAATACTCGATTCCATGTACCGGCACTAGGACTTAATTTCGCTAACATCGGTGTAAGAGAACGATTTATTCTTTCGATTTGACCGTTTGCGTGTGGTGTTGCGGTCGCAATTAACACCTGCTGTATGTTCAATTCCGATAAAAATTCCTTAAATTTATTCGAGGTAAATGCGCTGCCTCGATCCGAAACAATTTTGTACGGTTTACTATAGACGGAAAAATAAGTTCGTAAATGCCGTATTACTTCGTCCGCATTGGTACTGACGGTTGGGTAAAATTTCACAAATTTCGTAAATGCGTCAATCACTTCGAAAATATACTTATAACGGTGATTTGTTCGTTCCAACGGACCGTAGTGATCAATGTGCACGCAGTAAAATGGTACTGAATTTTTATCCGGACATTCTAATATGCCTTCTACCCGGTTCGCATTGGCCGAATACGTGATACATTTCAAACAATTCGCAATCCATTTTTGGATCTTCTGCCTCTTCTGCGGAAACCAATAAATTCGCGAAATATACTCGAGGGTCTTATCTACCCCTTGATGACCTATTTCTTCGTGATTTTTCCTAACTATATTTTCCTCCATTGAAGATGGAACACAAAATAAACGTTTGTTATTAACCTTCCGGTAAACCAATCCATTGCTCAATTCGTAAAATTTATTTTCGGAATTTTGCAATTCCTCTCGCAATACTTTTAACCGTGGATCTTGATCCTGTAAATAGAAAGGTTCTGTTCGAAACTATTTTCCGTGATAATCAACACACTAAATTCGCGACTAAGTGCGTCCGCATGTACTAGTTTATCCCCCGTTCGGTGTTCCAAAGTATATTGATAATTTCGTAAAATTAATGACCATCGCAAAATTCGTGGGTTTATTTCCTTTCGCTCCAAAGTTAATTTCAGGCTGTTACAATCCGTCACAATTTTGAACGGTATTCCTTGCAAATAAATTCTAAAACGTTCCAGCGCGTAAACTATTGCTAATGCTTCTAATTCGAAGCTGTGATATCTGCTCTCTGCTTGAGTAGTTCTTTTACTAAAATAACAGATAGGGTGGAATTTACCATCTGTTTGTTTTTGCAATAGGACCGATCCAAATCCGTGTGAACTCGCATCGCAATGCAACTCAGTCTCTGCGTGTACCGAGTAAATAGCTAACACGGGTTCCGACATTAATATTCTTTTCAGATTTTCAAAACAATTTAGCAACTCGTCGTCCCATCGAAAACTGACTTTGGATTTTAACAAGTCATACAGCGGTTTTGCTATTACAGCAAAATTTTTTATGAATTTCCTAAAATACGAAACTAAACCCAACCAGCTCTGCAGTTCGCGGTAATTTCTGGGGATAGGATAATCATACACAGCCTTTAGATTCTCTTCACTCGGTCTAATGCCTTGCGAGTCTATCCGATAACCTAGATAGACTACTTCCGTAAGTAGAAAAGCGCATTTGGCTAATTTTAAATCCAAACAATTCCTAACTATTACCTTAAAAACTTCTGCAAGTATCTCTAAATTTTCACAAGGGGTTTCGGTGGCAATTAAAATATCATCTAGATATATCAAAATTTTTTGTTGATTTAATAATGGTTGGAATGCGTTATTAATAAATCTCATAAAAAATGATGGGCCGTTTGATAACCCAAAAGGCATACGTAGGTATTCAAATTGACCCATAAAACATGTAAATGCCGTGTATTTAATTGAGTTCTCTTTCATAAAAACGTGATGAAATGCATCCTTCAAATCTAACCGGGTAAAGTACGATTTGTTCCGCAATTGATCAATTTGATCCTCTATCCTAGGAATAGGGAAATTATCTCGCAATGTTAATTTGTTTAGATCTCTGTAATCCACCGCCATCCTATACTGTCCATTTTCTTCCTTATCAACACAATCGGGCTACAATAATGCGATGAGCTTGGACGGATAATCTCTCGACTTAATAGATCCTGAATTATTGCTGTCACTGCACTCTTTTCGCAGTACGATAAACGTCGCGGATTGTAGTAAAAGGGTTGATGATTCGGTTTCAAAATTAATTCCATTTCTAATTTTGTATCTGGAAGTTCGGGTCCATCCGGTTTCACGTAATGCTCGTTAACAATTTGGGCCTACTTTTTCCTGCCACTCGTATTCTAAATTCGGATTAACTATTAAATTGTCCAGAATATCGTTATTTATTTTATCATCTATCACATCTATCTTCATTATTTCCGCAATCGAGCTCGGGCGAATAATAACCGATTTCCCGATCGTAACATCTAAGTTGTCATTATTAATAAAATCACGACCTAATAAGCAATCACAACTAAGCGTTCGATCCGGAATCACGTAAAAATCGAGTATTGCTTCGCAACCCGAAACTAATGTTTTTTCCCTCAACTGGCCCAATATTTCTATCGCGCTTCTGTTCACTCCTTCGAATCGCATCGTACGATCGTAATTATTTAATTGAACATTCGCGGGAACTAATCTCCGACTTAAAAATGATACCGGACTTCCGGTATCGATAACTGCTTCGATCTTACCTAGATCTGAAATTAATTCGACGGTGTAACATGGACTTATCTCGCTTGCCCTTAAATTAACCAGGTGCGTATTCATCTCGCTCTTCCTCGCTCCTCTCCCTTCCCTCAACGCTTCCGATCGCCGCGGACAAGACTGCTTCTGATGCTCGACCGATCCACAGATGTAGCACGATCCTGGGCTTCTTTTGGCTTTGGACAGGCGTTGGCCAAATGTCCCACGTCGTTGCAGTTAAAGCATCGAGGTGGTGTCGTATGCGTCTTCCCCGTTCCGTTGCTCGTGCTCGCTGCACCGGTCGTCGGCGTCACAAGTGCTTTCTTCACCCCCGGTCGACTTACGTTCCGCACTCGTTCATAAATTTTTAATTTATCCTTAAGTTCATTCAGATGCTTGGCTTCGTAAAGATGAACTTTTCCCATTGGCTCGTCTGGAATCCCGTCCACAATGTACTGTATTAGCGATTCGGATTCAATCGATCCTTGTACTGCAATTTCCTTCATTCTTAAAAAATATTCGTGCACCGATTCGTCCCGCTGCATTTTCCTGGTGCGCAACTTTTCGTGTAATTCTGCACTGTTTACCCGCGTAGCAAATTCCTCTAGTAACCGACTTTTAAATCGTGCCCACGATGAAAGTCCCTTCTCACCTTGCACGAATAATCTCGCCAATCCCTTCAAACATTTTCTCGCGAACAGAGTTTTTTGCAGGTCGGATCATGCGAATGACGTCGCATTTTCCTCAAATTCTTCCATCCACCTCTCCACGGGATATCCATCGGTTCCGTTAAACGGTCGTATCGAGTCTTCCACATCTCGAAAATTTAACGCAAATCTAGGTGTATCATCACGGCTTCTGGCAGGCATTTCCACTACCTCGTCTTCCGATTCCTCTTCTGAAAGGGTCATCGCTGCGTTCGCTTCCTTCAACAACGTTAAATCGGACAGATGCTTGCAAACCCGTTGTCCAATTTCTTCTTTTTGTCCCTCAGAGTCGATGTTCAGTATACCGGCGATCCCGATCAACTCGCTCAAACTAAATGCATCCACCACCGACGCAACCTTGTATCCAAGCTCAGTCGCACTTTCGAACGTAAAACCCGTAAAATGCCTTAGCCGCTTGCGGTTGTTTCGGTCGCCCTCTTCATCGAAAACGAGCCTGTGCAGAGCGCGAATCGACTGAGCCGCAACCCTTCCCAGGTTTACGTGTATCCTCGGAATATCTTTCAAAAACACCATAGTCAATATTCCCGTTCCACCAAATTTAACAAAACTAACACAAATATTCAGGTTGTTTTATCCCACTTCTGAAGCTGTAGTAGTCTTTGTTCCGGGAAAGTCAGGAATGAAGCACTAATGTAATAATAGGTGGATATATATGTATATATTTAGATTAGAAAAACACAGTAAGTATAAACGTAAAGGGTAGATGTACTAAGCTGGCCCCACGGCCGTAACATAATGCATAAAATACGTGTTCGCACACCGAACGTTACCATGCGACTCTCCTAATATCTTCGTTGTCCGTATGCGTTTGTTTTCTCCGACGTTGCCGGCGTCTCGCTACGCTCGTCGGTCGAACGCAGCAAACTCGCCGACGATTCCCCGATACATTGTATACATATACTACAGAATACCGATTCAGGATTTCTTCGCTGCGAACGATTGTGGTCGCGAAACATGCGCGCGAACGGTTTCCGGAACCTCTGAGGTGATGATGAATCGTGACTTGGGCCAATCCGTGACGTTGTTGGCGAGCCATTCTGGTCCGTGACGCCAGAGAGAATCGTTTAAAATTCTGGCAGATGACTGTCCTCGCGATATCAGATCCGCTGGATTGTCTTCTGATTGGACATGATGCCACACTGCGATGTCCGTTTTCTGTTGGATTTCGGACACTCGATTTGCTACGAACGTTTTTAGCGTGCATGGCTCTTTCCTCAGCCAGCTCAGGACCACTGTCGAATCGGTCCATAACCTCACGGAATCGAAATTGAATGCATTGATTTCATGAATGGTCGAAACCAACGACGCGAGGAGTACGGCTCCGCACAGCTCTAATCTTGCGAGGCTGACGACCTTCAAGGGGGGCGACGCGAGACTTTGCGCATAACAACTTCGTTTTAATATGACCGAGTTCGTCGATTGACCGGACGTATAGGCAGGCTCCATATGCCCGCTCGCTTGCGTCGCAGAATCCGTGCAATCCTACGGCGTGCATGGCGCGTTGACAGACATGTCGCTCGAATGATGTCCGATTTAGCAGTGGCAACTCCTTGACGTAGGTGGTCCATTCGGTGTGGATGCTGGCTGGTAAGGATTCGTTCCAGGCCAATTGCAGTTGCCATAGTTGCTGCATCAGTAGCTTCGCAGTCGTAATAACAGGTGCCAGCAGACCTAAAGGATCGAATATCTTCGCGATGGTGGACAAGATTGTTCGCTTCGTTACTCTTGTCTCGATATTCGGATCCACCGAGTAGGTGATGTGGTCGTCGCGCGCTTGCCACGAGACGCCGAGAGTCTTGACCGTTGCGTCTCCGAAATATTTGGTGTGCATTTGGGCTTCCGGAAGTCCTGTTAGAAGTCGTGGTTCGTTTGAAGCCCACTGCCGAATGTGCAATCCACCCAATTTAAGAAGCCTGATTGTTTGTTCCCGTAGATTTATTGCTTCTGTGTAAGTGTCCGCTCCGGTCAACAAATCGTCTACGTATAGGTCGCGCTGCAGAACGGTTGCCGCGACTGGAGCCTCAACTCTTTCGTCGTCCGCTAACTGTTGAATGCTCCTGATGGCGAGGAACGGCGCGGGAGATAATCCGAACGTGACGGTGTTAAGTTCGTAGGTTTTTATCTTGTCGTCGTTGTCTCGCCACAATATTCGCTGGTACCGACGATCTTCGGGTCTTATGAGAAATTGACGATACATTTTCTCGATGTCTCCGGTCAAGACATATGTGTGCAATCGAAACCTGACTAGGAGTGCGAAGATGTCGTCTTGAATCGTCGGTTCAGTTAAAAGGGTGTCGTTTAATGATAATCCGGTGCTGGACCTTGCGGATCCGTCGAAAACGATACGAATCTTGGTCGTCGTGCTGGTCGGTTTTATGACCGCGTGGTGGGGCAGGTAGAAACCCTCTGTGCCGCGAGGCTCTACTTCGCTCATGTGACCTAGGTCTAGGTATTCTTTTATGACGTCTGAATATTCACGTTTTAATTCTGGATCTCGCCGGAATCTGCGTTCGAGGGAAAAAGGCGGTTCAAGGCGCGCGATCGAGATTCGCCGAGTCGCATCTTCTTTTCGTTAAATGGAATCGCGACGATGAAACGGCCGTTGTTGTCTCGCGTGACGTGATCCCGAAAATGCTGCTCGCATTGTCGCTCCTCGACGGAAAGGTGTCGTGTTTCGGGAACCTCTTCCAACTCCCAAAACCTTTGAAGGTCAAAGGTTGGGGTGGTAAGAAGTGTTCGCTGTTTATTACGCGTGGCAGTTGTTGATACGTTCCCCCCGATGATCCATCCAAATTGTGTTTTTTGGAGGACCAGATCAGGTCCATTGCGAGGAGAGAGTCGATGTTGGCCGATGTTGAGCGAGGACAACGTAGGACCCGTGCCGATTAACATATCCACCTGTGCCGGTTGGTGGAATTGTGGGTCTGCGAGCTTGATGTCCGCCGGTATCGTAATTCGAGAACGATCGATCTGCTCGTCCGGGATTGGTCCGGCGATGCGTGGAATCGTAAAGAACGTTAATTCCCGCTGATAATTAGAGAGTCGCGATTTGATTGTGGTTGAGACCAGTTTATTCGTGATCGTGTTCAACTGGTTCAACGCTTCAATCGTCGTTGTATTTTCCTTCGCTGGAAGCCGTAATCTCGTTGCCAGGTCGTCGGTAATGAAATTCGCGGTCGAACACGTGTCTATCAGGGTCCGACATTCGATCGGTTTTCGGTCGTGATCTAGTACCTGTACGATCGCGGTAGCCATTAATTCGGTGGTCGTTTCGTCGATCGCGAAGTTGGCGACCCTCGAAAGATCGGGCTTTCTGACGGTCGATCGTAGTCAGGATTCGGTTTCCAGATGCTGATCCTGGTGCAGCTTCGTGTTATGCCGCTGGTTACAGACACGGCATATTCCGGCCTTGCAATCTTCCGTGTGGTGGTCCGGTTGCAAGCAATTGAGACACAAATGTGCCTTGCGAGCGGCTTCAACGCGACGCGGTACCGTTGCATCTAAGAACCGCGGACACTGGTATACAGCGTGTGATCCCTCGCACACGGGGCATTTTGCGTCGGCGTATCCCATTCGTTTCGGTCCCAGCGGCGGCGTTGATCGGCGTTGAGCGCGAGGAGACGATGACGGGGTTGACCGTCGTTGCGAACGAGGAGATGACGGCGGCGTCGACCGTCGTTGCGAATACGAAGATAATGGCGGCGTCGGAGTGTTTCGCGCAGTGTTTGCCAAATAAACTTGACGTTTTGGCATCGGTGGCTGCGTTCTCGGATAACCGGTTGGATTGCGCGTCGGGGTCGCTCGCAGTCTGTTCACAGCGTCGCTGTATGTGGTCGAGCGTTTGTTATCCGTTCCGTACTCCTTTGACTGGTGCGACGCGTTGTGAAGGAACTTAAAGAGGTCGTCAATGTTTGGTACCTCCGTGTCCGATAAGGTGCGCTCCCACGATCTTCTCGTTTCGGTCCCCATCTCCGCGATCAGAATACTCGCCATTAGATCGTTCGCGATATCGTTTGGAGATCGACCGAGTGCTTGCAACGAGCGAATGTGCAGTTGCATGTGATTCGCGAGATCGCGTATCGACTCTGATGAATCGTCTGGCATCGGGGTGGTGTCGCGTAGGAGCGTGGCGTGACGTAACACGAGCGCGCGTTTATTATCGTAAATTTCTATCAGATGTTTCCACGCGGTTTCGTAGTTGTCTTCGGTGATGCTGAAAGCTCCGATCGCGGTTTCAGCCTTTCCGGACAATGAGAGTCGTAGATAATGTAACTTTTGAATTTTGCTCAACCCCGGTTGCGTATGGATTAATGTATGAAACGCGTCCTTGAACGTTATCCACGTTTCGATACGACCGTCGAATTTCGGTAGGTCGATTTTCGGTAAATTCACCGATAGCGCGTATGCGGAAGAAGAAGGGGTTGGCGAATTGCTGCTCGCGGGTGAAGCCTGTGTAGCGCGTGCCTCTAACCTTTCGAGCAAAACGACCGCGGTGGCCATGACGTCGTCGAAGTGGTCTGTGGTTGATTGACGTTCTTCTTCCTCTTCTTCAAAATCTCCTACCGAGCTTAATTCGTCCTGGATGCGGTTCAAGGTTTCAAACTGACTGCGTAACCTTCCGACACGATCCCGCAATTTCACGCGCTCCTTGGGGGAATCCGCGTATGTTTCGATCCAGTTTCCGAACTGTGTGATCTGGCTCTTAAAGGTCCGTTGCTTGATTTTAAGATCACGAATATGTGCGGAGGCACTGCTGGACGCGTTCTCACTTCGAGATTCCATTTCGATGCGATGCGAATTTACCGAGGTTCAAGGAAATATTTGATAGGTGGATGATTGGCAAATCTAAGGTACGAGCTTACCTTTGACTGGATCTCGCAATGGCTGGTTGAACCTGGACCGTCTGTTGTCCTTGATGAATGATTCCAGTTGGTGATGGCTGCTGCTTTTGTCCGTAGAATTGCCGTTGACTGGATTCCGCGAGTGTTGTGCTCCGTTGCTCTCCCTTCTTCAGCACAATCACTGTTACACTTGGAATGTCTGTGTCACTTAGTGTTTCGTCAGAAGAGTCTATTGTCCACACGTCACTGGTATCCGGCTCGAAGGACCATGTTCCGATTCGAGGTTGAGATCGCGGATTTCTCGTCGTGATATCCCGCACGGTGGTGCCCGTCTTCGAGATGGTAAGTCTCGAAGATACCTTCGATCTTGGTAACGGTCAGTCGCGACGCGTTGTTTCAAGGAATTAACCTGGAAACAATGTTTCTCAGTTGTTACACAGCATGAACGTTAATGCTGATTAGCCGTACGTTAAGCCTTCGGTCCGAATGCTTGACTCGAAGGGGAAAAGTCGAAACGTTAAACGAACGAAAAAGGTACTCGAAGTGAACTGTCTGTCTCGAATAGCAGTGAAGATGTAAGTGCTTCGAATCGCTGTTGGAAAGTGATTAGTCGGCGTTGTTTGCCCTTCCTCGCGGCGTTGGAAGTATGAGGGAACACTATGATTGGTGATTTTTAGAAATCAAAAAATCCAATCATCGTGCCCCCTTAGGCATTGCCACCACAATCTATGCGCCCTTGGCGCGCCTTCTTCTAGGAGAGAGTGGGGCGATACCTGGTTGTACGCGAATGTTTCGAAATCCGACAATATCGCGGCTTTCCTCTGGGGGTTTCCGCTCGAAGGTCAAAGTCCCGTTTTCGACGTACCCTTCGGAAGACCGAGTTTATGACCGGCTGAGCTATTGAGAACGAAATGAACGTGAAATTCTAAGTTTATTATGCGAAAAGTTAAATGATTATTGCCGGCAATGGAATAAAATGTCTTTTCTCAAAAATAGCTTTACGTCGCGGACCTATCATAAACTGACAACGAAATATTCGCGTATTGTGTTCCTTCGGACGGAACAAATGACCTTATGTAGTAAGTCGTTGAACTCGTTTTAAGATCCTCTACCATGATACGGAAGCAAAATTATACCGATCCATTTAAAAAAATGGTGGTGACCTTCAAATGTCCGAAGTACCTTCACCTGCAAAGAAACTATGATGGGCCCCTTCGTACTGTGCAATTTTATTTCAGCAAATATTTCTGTGAAACTTATAGTTTCCAAGATATCTGAGGTGCTAATATTTATTGCCCCACCCTGTATAAAAAACCAATTTAAATATAACTGTTAGGGAGAGGAGGTTTATATGCTTCGCCTAAGGATGATCCGGATCTCGAAAGAAGGAACTCTGGGAAAAGAATACGCTATTCTCTTTTATTTTCACTTAGCTGAAATTATTCATCTAAGCCGTTTATTACTGTTTGGCTAGACGTTATCAAAAAAAAGAGGCGAGCAGCGAGCTGTCAGACGCATAACTGACGTCGTGTGATAATCCGGCTGCTGATGTTCTGTAACAGAAAGAGACACGAATAGGCGTTAAATACCTATCGGCGTGATTCACGTCGTGTATCTTGCTCTTTTCCGAGCGCGCTTGGTTTGTGCTTGTCGCACCCAGGAGCGGGAATTTCAGCCGTGGCGATACGCAGCTAAGCGAGTGGACTGCATGTGTGAGCATTCCCTTTAAATCGGGAATCGCTCGATTATTATCTTGTGTATACTAGATTTAATCTCGTTTTTTCTTCGACTGCAATACTTGATTGCCGCAGGAGAGGGCGATTAGAGGGAGGTTGTAGGGCTCCAACCGTCACCCGGTCCTCGGCCCCTTACCGTCTTCGTACGTGCGTACGGGGAACAATGTGATGCGGACTTTTCAACGGCGCTCTTGGCGACTTACTGTTGAGCTTGGAAAATCACGTCGCTTTTTGAGTCGCGTTCTACGCACAGTGCCCGTACAAGCCTGGCGATCTATGAACTGCGCTCTAGCGGGTCGCCGGAAGCTGGGAGTAGTCCCACGCTCCAACTGGAAGGCGGCAAGTCCACCCAGGGTGTATACGCCTACAAGGCCCCTTCAGGTGGGTTTAAAGCCATTCGACAATCAAGGGAGGATCGAAACTTAATCTCGATGCCTCTCACACGACCGCTGTTTGCAGCAGTCCGTGGAAAAGTCAGGCTGCCGTGAACCGGAGTTCACTATTGAAGGAAAATCTCGATAATACCAGAGTTTCCGCAATCTTTCGTTTTAACTAGGTCGTACTCACAACCCACAGATTAAAATAGCCGATTCGACAGAACGGAATTGCGTGTAGGTTGCTGGTAGGAGTTTGCCTATACAATCTCTACCAGAAAAACTACCGCGTTACGTTGTCTGTCCCTGAAACAGAGCTCGAAAAACACGACGCTCTTATTTCTTGGTTAGTCGTACTGAGCAAGATCGATTACCAATTTGCTCGCGATAAGAATGAGCTAATAGTTTCAAGATGTGCCTCAACGAAAGTTCGAATAACTCGACACTGTTCGGACGTTATGTAATTTTTAGCGAAGCTTGATC